GAGCCTACAGTCTGCTTCAGATTCTGTATCTCCCTCTCTCTCTGACCCTCCCCTGCTCACGCTGTTTTTCTCTTTCTCAGAAATAAATAAAACATGAAAAAAAAGTAAAAAAAAAATCTTACAGTCTACAGGCACCTGGGTGGCTCAGTTGAGTAAGTGTCTGGCTTCGGCTCAGGTCATGATCTCGTCGTTGGTGAGTTCAAACCCTGTATTGTCAGTGCAGAGCCTACTTGAGATTCTCTCTCTTTCTATGTCTCTCTCTGCCCCTCTCCCACTTGCTCTCTCTCTCTTCTTCTCTCAAAATAATAATAAATGTAAAAAAATTAATAAAAAGATAAAACAAAATCTTAAATTCTGGGGTTTAATACAAAATTGTCTCAGAGAAATTCCGCTAATGGATAGCAATTTCTGATAATTATCACATACTTCTGAAAAGGCTTTTAGTGGCAATCTTTTTAAAAAAATTTTTAATGTTTATTTTTGAGAGAGAGAGTGAGTGAGAGAGCTAGGAAGGGCAGAGAGAGGAGACATAGTATTCACAAAGCAGGCTCCAGGCTCTGAGCTGCCTGCACAGAGCCTGATGCAGTGCTCAAACTCTTGAATCATGAGGTCATGACCTGAGCCGAAGTTGGATGCTCAACTGACAAAGCCACCTAGGTGCCCCTGAAATCTTTCTTTTTTTAAAAAAGCACTTCAACATAAGGTTTCTGTCACTAAATTTGCTCGCTTTGTTTTTTTATTTGGTAACTTTTAGTTTAATTCATGTGGGTTATTAAATTATTAATTAACAAGGTTTAAATCTATAAGCTTTCAGTGCACTGGACTAGTTAAAATGAGATTTTTGGAAGAACAACCAGGTTTCAACTGAGCCCATTCTCTATTACTTGAGTATTATGAGGTTCATACTTTATTTGTTATGTTGTCACTTTCACTGAGTTTTGCAAAGTTCTGTTCAGGTACAAGACTCACAGTGGTATTTAACAAAATTATGTCACCAATGTATGTTAGTGGATTAATGAATAAATTTAGGTACGGAAACAGCAATAAAAATTCAAGCCATCTCACTGTAAATACTGAGAGGATAATATGACAAACCTCATAAGGAAGTAACAGATAAGAAAAAAAATCTTAAAACTACTTCCAAGTCTTGGAAGTCAGTCTTGGCCTCAGAAAAACTTTGGAAATATAAAGTTGCTTACCTTTTCCTGGGAGAACCATTTTTCCAGTACAAGAAGCCAGACCCAGGCTAATCTTTGAGGGTTGATGTCTTGTCCACATCTGAAAAATGTATAAAAAAAAAAAAAAAAGAATTTCTGAACAAATAGTTTCTATTGACCTTTTCTTTTTTGTAACCCAAGATTTGGATTTCACTGCTCAGTCTGTTTTAAACCTAAACAGGCAAGACACTGTACTAATGAGAAATTTTCAAGTGCATATGATAGATCAATAAAACTAGAACCAGAATAGTGCTAGATTTCATTAAAAACAAAAACAAAAAAAAACCAAAAAAAACAAAAGGGAAAAAAGTCTCACCCCTACTTCCTACCTCTACCTCCCTATCTAGTCTTTATTATTATTATTATTTAATTTTTTAAAAGTGTTTTTATTTTTGAGAGAGAGACAGAGCATTAGCAGGGGAGGGGCAGAGAGAGAGAGACGCAGAAACTGAAGCAGAGTGCAGGCTCTGGGCTGTTAGCACAGAGCCAGAAGTGGGGCTCAAACTCATGGACTGTGAGATCATGACCTGAGCCAATGTTGGAGCCCAATTGACTGAGCCATGCAAGCACCCCTAGTCTTTATTATTTTTAAACAAAATAACATTATATAGAAAACCATAAAAAGCAAAGCTCCCTAAAGTATATTTTTGAAGAAACTGAATCAAGTAGTCTTAAAGAAAAAAACGAATTTCATAAATATTTATTAACTCTATGCTAAAAACAGGGTTACAGGAATGTAAAAGGGTTTCTTTGCATAATTTAGATAGCAACTGGCTAGAACCCAAATTTAAGGGGAAAAAATAAATGGAAAAAATGATTTAAGTTTCTACTCTCTATATACTAATACAATATAATATAGCTACCAAAGTAAGGAAAAGTGAGGGAAAGACTAAATAGCACATTTAACTGTTATACTACTAGCTGTTAACAGCACTGCCAGGAAGAGTTTCATTAAAAATTTAGATCGAGAACAGTGGTTGCCAGGATAAAAGGAGGGGTCAAAATACAAAGAGGTAATCCCACGAAGTGAGGGAATTCTTTTGTGGTGATGGAAAAGTTCTGTATTTTGATTTTACTGGTAGTTACATAATCTGTACATGGATAAAACTGCACAAAACTATGCACATAAAAACAAATGCACATTAAAAAAATGCTAAAAACTGAATAAGGTCTGTAGTCTAGTTAACAGTAATGTATCAACGTCAGTTTCTTGATTTTGATATTGTACAATAGGTATACGAGATACTGCAATTAGGGGAAGCCGGGGAAGGTTACTCTTTGTATTTTGTTGCACTTTTTGTGAATGTAAAACTTATTTATATAATTTTTAATATTTACATAATTATTTCAAAATAAAAACTTTAAGTGAATTAACTTCTAATCCTTTGTTAAAACTACTATATCATAAACAAAAAGGGAGCAGCGTTTGCTTTTCTGGACGCAAAGAAAATGCTTTTCAATGCAGTTCGACCATCTACTTTTATGATAATAATCAAGAAATGGTGGTTTCAGGCACATTTTGCTGGCAAGGATTAACTGCAGTTTCAGATGATAATTTAAAGTCAACATTGATTAAGTAATAAACATGTATTATAGATGTAAGTTTTCAGAGCATATGAAATACAGTCTGCCTCTGCTAATTTTTCAGAGACTAGGTAACCAGAGCTCAAATACTGACCTTGTGTCTCCCACCCTGTGACTGCCTGGGAAGACGAGAGATCCCTTACCTCAGCTGATCTGGACACACCACCAGCGCCTGAAGTATATCTTCCACCTTCTTTGGGATATCCCCCTGTGCCTCATGTAGTTGAGGTACACATGCCTGTGCCAGCTCCCATTCTCCTCTGCGAAGGCACTCACAGAAAAATCCATAAAGCTGCTTCTGAGAAGCAGTTTCCTCTTTTCCAAATGGATGATGCATTTTCCCAGCACAGAGTGCAGGGAGATAGAAAGAGATGAATTACGCAGAACACATTGTCAATTTTCTCATTCGTGGAGCACCTCCTAGAAACAATATACATCACAATGAAGGAGCTATATCTAGACAAACTAATAACTACTAGCCTGGCTGGGAAAAGCGGAACTTACTTCCCTAATTATCGTTTTAAGTTTGATTTGACGTGTTACTATCTCTTTTTGAGAAGTTCCACCTTTCCCCGAGGGGTGGATCCCATCTCTCTACACACATCCAACATTTAATTAATATTAATAGTCGATTTAGCTCGGGGCGCAGACCCATAAATCCACTTTCATGTTCCCCACTTAACTTTAGACCCAGTCCGGCTCCAAATGCCCAGGTGGGTCACCTCCCTAAGGATGAGAAACGCAGCAGGAACCTCCCTAGTTTGAGCCCTCACTTAAGGTGGAGGAGTGAAGATCCGCAGATGAGTCTGTGTGAGAGCTGGAGGACAGTGGGGATTGGAGTGCAGGGACGCTCCCTACAGGGGTCGTGGAGAGCGCCCCGGTCTTCTCTGGGGCGTCTTACACTCACCTGCTCCTGATACCCAAAGCAATAGAGCTTCCAGCGCAGCCATGTTTGAACGGAGTCAGGTGATAGATCCCATTCGGGAGGTTGCCGGAGGGCGGGGTGGGGTGGGACGACTGACAGAGGCTACTCCTATTGGTCAACGAAGGGAAGATGCAAATAAGGCGCCATATTTGTTTGGGTCACGTGACGTCACTTCTTTGGACTAGAGAAAGCTAGGACAAGCAGAGTCAACCAGCTACCTGGCTAAGGACCATTCCTTTCAGTTTTGACCTCACCTCCGCTCGATACTTTCAGTTCTGCATTCGGCGGAGCGGGTAGCAGAAATATCAGTGTCCCTTGATTGTTTTCATCTCTTTTACTCCATAGCGTTTGAAGTCAGCTTTTACGAAGTGCCCGCCAGTGACAGTGTTTTGCCAGGCCTTGGGGATTCCCAGAGCAAGGAGACCTGGATACTCCTCCATTGATATTTTATCCACTTGGCTTCTGTTATCATCGCAGAATCCTGCGTTCTTAATTCCCATTTTCTGCCTAACTCCATTGATTTGCTCATTTACCCGACAACCGTTAATTGAACGATGTCCTAGGCCCTCCCTACTTTTCAGGCTGAATAAATTGCGGAACTTGTCCTCGAGTTCACAGTCTAGTAACATGGGCAGGTCAGTAATTAGGATACAGTAGGCTAAATTATAAGATAGAAGTATGCACTCGAGATATGAGAGCAAAGAGTGGGCAAAAGCTTTTTCGCAAAATAATAGTGTAATCTGAAACCAAGTAACAGTTCCCCTTTACACCGAAACTTCGGTGGTTTCCTTCATGGGCTTCTTAAACTACAGACTCTTAACGTTTCCCCATTATGTGTTTTCAGCTTGAGCAATTTCACTCAGCATTTCCCAAATTATTTCACCGCCAAAGTGTGGTGAAAAAAGCAAACCCTAAAAAAGCAAACCCAAACAAATCCAAGGTCTCCTCCAAGACCTTTTCTACTATAGGTGAATGAAAACTAACATGTCTTTTTGGTCCATTATGCATTTTTAAATGTAGTGACAAAAAAAGAAAAGAGACAATTCCAAGCAAGGTTTTCCCTGGCTTCATTTTCCTCTTGCTGATGTTTCTCTTCCGGATTTTGATAACCACTATATTGAGAAACGGATTCATTGACTTATTGTAGTGTGAACTACAATTCCCAGCAAGCAGTGGAATCAACCTGGGACTCTGCCTACCTCTGATTGGATATTTCACCCGAGTGACCACCCAATCGGCATTTGGGTTGTTGCTTTGCGGCGCTTTCCGCGGGGAACTGTGAGGGGTGGGGGAAACTTTGAAAGTTGGATGCTACAGACCCGGTACTGGAAAGTTTCGTGTGGGGGGCATTTGTGGGGATATGGGGTGTGCTCATTTTTTCCTGCTCTCTCTCCGGCCCCCTCTCTGTTATTACTTTCGGGGTGGCGGAGAATCTCTCTTTGGTCCCGTACACTCCCCCTTAGGCCTGAGGCATCTTAACGGGAACTCCGCCGCAAATCTGGGAGCTTCTGGCCTTCCTTTGTGGGGGTTGCTGGGACAGTGCTCCTTGCTGGAAAAAAGTTCTTTTTAGGGGATTCTAGAGTGACGTTTTCGCCTCTTGATGCCCCACTCTCTTCTCCCACTTGCGGTTTCTTGGGAGTCTCGGCGGGGGAGCCCGTCCTTAAGGGAACATTGGGGTCTGCTCGCCTTCTGTGGTACTGAAGAAGAGGTGGTTAAAGCGTGGAATCTGGAATTCTATGTCTAGATTCGAATGCGGACTCCACCATTTGCTAGCTGATAGACTTCACGCACGTTTTTCAACTCAATGCCACAGTATCCTTAGTCTGTAAAATGGGCTCAAACATCGAAAGCTCTTGGAACAGTAGTTGGCACGTAATAAGGGCTCAATAAATATTAGCTATTATCGTTGCTTACAGTTTTCACTGAACATTTTCCGTGAGGATTTTTACTTTGTTGAGGAGGAAAGGTTTCAGCCTTCGGGACAGACGATCTTTCCTCAGCCTTGATTACACGTGCGGCCATGTGGGTACGCACACACACAGCTGGAATTTAACAGTCTCTGGTGGAAGAAACAAACACGCACGCTGTAATAATATGTTAATAAGATTATCCAACAAATGCGTATAATGTATGATGAACACATTGGAGTGAAAGAGATTGACTTGGGGGCAAGTTTTGCGGAGGGAAGTCAGGGAGTCAGGATGGCGCTTGTGTAACCTATCAATATACAGTATTGTGGCTGCAGAGCAGATGAGGAGAGGCAACAAACAATGTTTTGCTGAGGGAATTGCTGATGGTAATGGTTGTTAACCTTGAACTCTGTGTGTCAGGCACCATCCAAATCTTCTAACCTTCACTACATTCCTATGAGGTATTTGAATTACCTTTGTTTTACTGATGAGGAACTGAAGGCACCAGGAGGGGCAGGATCTGGGCCTTGCCATCAGATGTATGAAGGAGAAGGAAGTGAAGAGACGAGTTTAGGAAGGGTCTTTATGTGATCTTAAGAAGTGTGGAATTCATCCCGTGCTCTAATGGTCCCATGGAATGACAGTGACAAGATTGGAGCACAGTTTTAGGTAGCTGCCTCTGGCAGGATTGGGGCACTGACCTGACTTTTGCAGACCAGTTTGGTGCTTCTTCCTGTCTGCTTCCATAGCACATTTAAATGCCAATGCCAATGCCAGTACTTATCGTGTGACTGTAATAATTTGTGTATACATCTCTTTTCATCTTTTACTTTGAGTTCTCAAAGGGAAAGGAATATGATTAAATGATTGCTGTACCCCAGAACTCAGCAGCTCAGCAGAGTGTGTGATTAAGAAGGGTCTCCTGAAGGAGCAAATAAGTGTGTGTTTGTTTGTTTGTTTTTTTATGGTGCAGGGAATAACAAGAGGCAGTATGCAATAGTGCAGGCAAATGATGGGAATGGCCGTAAGAAGGCTGAGATAGCAGAATTGGTGATTGTTAAAGTCCAGGTAGTTTCGGTTCTTCTTTTTGATTCAATGTTATCAGCCTATATGGTGTTATTCCCCAGAACTACCTGATCTATAAAAACACTAAGAAGTGATATAGCAGATATTACTTGGTAAACTATTCAGGAAACATCAGTACAAATTTCCACTGAGAGAAATGAGAGGGATGTATTGTGTGTGTGACAGCGCACACGCACATATGCACATGAATGTGAAAAAAAGTGGGAGAGAGGGAAGGAGAGAATTAATTTGATTCAGAGAATTTAGATTTTATGTAGAAATTTGGGCAGGTGTCTACAGTCTCAGTCCTCTGTATTTTTGTTCCAAAGTGTTACTCCTTTTCTATTAATGATATTGTTTTATCTCCTGGAACAATGAAGAGTTCTTGTTTCTATTCTATCCAGAGGATTTCTTGTCATCTCAGTGAGATGCACAGCCTCTTCTCTGAATGCGTTATGAAAGGAATCACAGTGATTGTGTTCTAGCTTTCCAAAGGCAAATATTTCATGAGCCTCATTTAGTCCTAGTGAGGTTCAACAGTAAGAGTGAAATTTAATTGCATGTGGGAATGTGAGCAGCTAATACAATTAAAAAAAAAAAACTATTTCAGTTTGTAAGTAAGACCTGAAATAATAATATCTCATTTGATTTGCAGGTTTGTTTTGCCTCAGAAAAAGGAGAGGTTAAATATGATAATGGACTTGGAGTAGGGGTATGCTGGTTAAGAGGATGAACCTTAGAGTCACTCCCTGAGTTGAAATTCTGGATCCACCATTTACTTTTTCTGGTGACAATGGCATAGCTAACATCTAGGCATTAGTGTTCTCGTATGTAGAAAGTGGATCAATAATCAACCTTCCTTATAGGGCTATTGAGAAGATTAAATGTGTTAATTTATGTAAAGCTTTGGAACAGTGCCTGGTGTACATAGTAGGTGCTCAGTAAATTTATTATTGTTACAGTGCAATGAAAGTAAAGATTTTTTTAAAAGTTTATTTATTTTGAGATATAGCACATGAGCATGGGAGGGGCCGAGTGTGAGAGAGTGAGAGAGAGAGAATCCTAAGCACGCTCCACACTTACAGTGCAGAGCCCGAGAGGGCTCTATCTCCCGAATTGTGGGATCGTGACCGGTGTCAGAATCAAGCGTCAAATGCTAACTGATTGAGCCACCTAGGTGTCTGGACAGTAAAGACTTCCTAAGGAGTGCTGCTTGGAAATATTCCTTGAAAGTTAATTATACATCCAAATAAAATTTATGAATACATTGAAAACCCTAACATGCTATACAAATGTGAAGTGGTATCTTTATATTCATGTAGTAAATATAAAAGAATTGTGTGAAATGCACATTCTTATGTTGTCTTGTTTCTTTGTGTGCATGTTTGACAGACATTTAGAAAGATTCTATAGCCTTTATTTTATCAATAATATTTTAAATACTATGCATTTCGTTTGCATATGAAGAAGCTTGAAGAATTTTTTATATTGTAGTGTGTTTTGATAGCCTTTCTACTATTGCTTTAAAAAAATTTTTTTTAATGTCTTTATTTTATTTTGAGAGACAGAGACCGAGTGAGAGCAGGGGAGAGGCAGAGAGAGAGGGAGACACAGAATCTGAAGCAGGCTCCAGGCTCTGAACTGCCAACACAGAGCCTGATATGGGGCTTGAACCTACGGACTGTGAGATCATGACCTGAGCCGAAGTCGGACGCTTAACTGACTGAGCCACACAGGGGCGCCTGTCTACTATTGCTTATGGTATTTTCTAATGCTTTTCAGGGTTCTCTTTCTGCTGCATCTTGAAAGCATGGGTAGCAAGAAACTCAGAAGAGTGGGCTTGTCGCAAGAGCTATGTGACCGTCTAAACAGACATCAAATTGTTACCTGTCAGGTAAAATTTATTTACTTTTTCTCACTGAGAAACTTTGAGTACAGTTAATCTTAAATATACCTTAATAACTCCTAAGTAAACCTGAAATGTGATAATTTAACTTTCTAAAAAATATGAATGATAGTGCTTCTCCATAGGCTATTTAACATTAAAAAAACAGTTGTTTTTTTTTTTTTTATTTGTGAGAGAGAGAGAGAGACAGCGTGAGCAGTGGAGGGTCAGAGAGAGAGAGATACAGAATCTGAAGCAGGCTCCAGGCTCTGAGCTAGCTGTCAGCACAGAGCCCAACGCGGGGCTTGAACCCATGAATCATGAGATCATGACCTGAGCTGAAGTCGGACGCTTAACCGACTGAGCCACCCAGGCGCCCCTGCATGGGCTGTTTTAAAATAAGAGGCTACTTGCCTGGGTGGCTCAGTCAGTCATAACTCTTGATTTTGGTTCAGATCATGATTTTTCTGTCTTGAGAATGAGCCCCACATTGGGCTTCCATGGGGCTTGGTGCTGGGTATGAAGCCTGCTTAAGATTCTCTCTCTCTTTCAAAAATAAAATAAAATAAAATAACAGGTCACTTAGGTTGTATTTCCAAATGTGATTTCTTTTACCCAAATTCCTATATTTTTGGATTTTGGGTCAGTGGAGAATGCTTATAGCATAATGTGAAGTATATTCATGCTATTTATTTGGGATTCTAGAGAAGTTTCATCCACTTGCAAGAAATTTTGCAGTTATATGAGAAATAGGACTCAAATGAAGAGATAATATTCAAAATGGATAATGTCTCCTGCAAGCAAGAAAAATTAATAGAATCATTTTCTTATCAGTGTAATAGGAGAAATGTATAGAGCAGATGTTGCATTTTTAAGCACAGTAGTGAAACAGATCCTTCTTAGGAGGTTAAAAAAGATTTAACGTGTTTGTTTGTTTTTAATTTTTGTTTATTTTTGAAAGAGAAAGGAGGGGAGGGGCAGTGAGAGAGGGGACAGATGATCCGAAGTGGGCTCTGTGCTGACAGTAGAGATCCCAATATGGGGCTTGAACTCACAAACCATGTGATCATGACCTGGGCTGAAGTCAGATGCTTAACTGACTGAGCCACCCAGGTGCCCCTAGATTTAACGTTTTGTATTAGGATTTAATCCTTAATAAGACAGATTTTCTCAGAGCATACAGCAATTTAAAAAAACTGCTTTGTGTGTTAGTGGTATTTTTGGTTCCTCTATTATACATTTAATAACCCTCATGTTCATACTTGGAAATATTCTTAAAAGTATGAGATTTAACATTTCATTCCATAGTCAGTTTTATTGTCTCTATTAAATACTTTTTCTGAATGGTCTCATAGCTCAGTAAGAAACTCATTTCAACCTGACACTTTCTGGGTATTTGTTTATGCCCGAACTGCAGCTCAGGGCAGTGCTCATATATACCTGGGTTGGAGGCTGCTGCTATGTGATGTTACTTGGTGTGTCCTCTGGTATATACTAACTAAATTAGAGAATTAGAAGATAAGATTATGGCATCATATCTTTTAGTTAAGGCATGTGTAAGGAGACATACTATAAGGAATATAGAAATCTTCAATCTGCAATAAATTATGAGCAGTGTCCATTGAAAGTTTCCTTTTAATTCCAGTATCTTTGTTGCACATATATGTTTAAAATATTCTTTTTATGTCTCTCTAGGACTTTTTATGTCTTTCGCCATTGGAACTTATGAAGATGACTGGCCTTAGTTATCGAGGTGTCCATGAACTTCTTTGTATGGTCAGCAGAGCCTGTGCCCCACAGATGCAAACGGTATATATACATATATATATATATATATTTATTATGTGTTGATTATGACTTTTATTTTGAGGTTATCCTTTATCTCATTTCAAATGTTTTTTGGGGGATGAGGCAAAAGCAAAAATAGATATGAACACCTCAAAAAAAGTTTTAAAAAAAGTTTTTAACTTTAATTTATTTTATTTTATTATTTTTTTTCCAAAGGACATTATGTTTATTTTTTTTTTTCATAGTTTATTTTCAATTTGGTTTCCATATAACACCCAGTGCTCATCCCAACAAATGCCCTCCTCCATGCCCATCAACCCCCTCCCCCCGCCCCCACTCCCATCAGTCCTCAGTTTGTTCTCAGTATTCAAGAGTCTCTCATGGTTTGTCTCCTTTCCTCTCCCCAACTACTTTTTCCCCTTCTCCTCCCCCATGGTCATCTATTAAGTTTCTCCTGATCCACTTATAAGTGAAAACATACAGTATCTGTCTTTCTCTGCCTGACTTATTTCGCTCAGCATTAACACCCTCAAGTTCCATCCATGTTGCTACAAATGGCCAGATTTCATTCTTTCTCATTGCCATGTAGTATTCCATTGTATAGATAAACCGCATCTTCTCCATCCATTCGTCAGTTGATGGACATTTAGGCTCTTTCCATGATTTGGCTATTGTTGAAAGTTCTGCTATGAACATTGAGGTACATGTGCCCCTATGGTTCAGCACTCCTGTATCCCTTGGGTAAATTCCTAGTAGAGCTATTGTTGGGTCATAGGGGAGTTCTACTGTTAATTTTTTGAGGAACCTCCACACTGTTTTCCAGAAGGGCTGTACCAGTTTACATTCCCACCAACAGTGAAGGAGGGTCCCTGTTTCTCAACATCCTTGCCAGCATCTATATAGTCTCCTGATTTGTTCATTTTAGCCACTCTGACCGACGTGAAGTGGTATCTCAGTGTGGTTTATTTCCCTGATGGTGAGTGATGCTGAGCATTGTTTCATGTGAATGCCTCAAAAATATTGACTCTTGGGGCACCTAGGTGGCTCAGTTGGTTGATGTCCAATTTTGGTTAGGTCATGATCTTGCATTCTGTGAGTTCAAGCCCTACTTTGGGCTCTGTGCTGACAGCTCAGAGCCTGAAGCCTGCTTTGGATTTTGTGTCTCCCTCTCTACTCTCTCTCTCCCTCCCCCAGTCATGCTCTGTCTCTCTGTCTCAAAAATAAATAAATGTTTTGAAAAAAAGATTGACTCTTGGGGTTCCTAGGTGGCTCACTCGGCTAAACATCCAACTCCTAATTTCGGCTCAGGTCTCATAGTTCGTGGGCACTATCACCAGGAAGCCTGGCTGGGATTCTGTGTTTCCTTCTCTCTCTGCTTCTCTCTTTCTCTCTCACTCTCTCTCTCTCAAAAATGGATGGATAAATATTTAAAAGAAATATTGACTCTTATACCGTAGAACTAGTCCTTTAATGAAAATATATGCAAAAAATTTATGTCGTTTATAAGCTCATGGGAGACAGTTCCTAAATATGGGAATGAGAAGGCAACAGTTTTTCCCTGTAGCTGATATTGATGTTTCAAAAGGTCATCTTTGTCTTTTGTTTGTTTGGGTAGGATTTGTGGACTTCACGGTTAAATTATAATACACTCCTAATTTTAGAATGCTCCTGTCTTTGTAATACCAACTTTTATTATCATCAGCCTGTGTCATAAAATACGCATATTGGATTTATATTGCTTATTGATTGAATATATACTACTTAAAAACTTTTCTCACTCTTGGGAAAGTTAAAAGTCTTTTTATAACAAATTCTCATCAAGTACTATTATTTCATACTTTCTGTCTCATAACTTTAGCTTTTCAAAATGTAGGTTTAGTGCATGGTAGAAAAGACCCTCTTTTCCCAGAATAAGAGTACCTAGAAATCTGTTAAGTGCTTTGCAAATGTATTTATTTAGGTGGATTGTAGATCACTTACCTTACTATCTTATATCGAAATTTAGTCACCACGGAGCAATAAAGTGGAGTTCAATTCTATGAGGTAGGAAGGAAGGGATGTTAGTGTCATTTGAAACTTCTGAAATTAATGAATAGATAAAAATATTTTCTATTGTTCAGATTTAGCTTGTGATCTAAGAAAATACCTCAAAGCCAGAGTAGTCAGAAGGAGAATTTGAATTAGAGTTAGGAATTGGCACTGTCTTAGCTTTGTCATTGACCTCGGAGCTTTGAGTAGCCCACTTTATTTTATGGGAGAAGTAAGCTAAAATAGTAAATGATGATTCTGGGACCAGGTTTAAATTAACTTATTACTATTTTGAAGGTTGTAGAGCACCAACAAAGTGTTTTAATTTGATGTATGTCATTCTATGTGTTCGGTTGATACCTACGGCATATTTAGTTAGAGAATTAAATAATAGAGCATGTGGAGGAAATTCACCTGTAGGCTCCACTTGCATCACCACTTTAGCTGCAGTATCAATGCCATTCCAAATGCCACCTCAGGAAGCCATCATTTCCCTTTGTTGTGCATTCACTCTTGTAGCATTCTTTAGATTTGAGTCTTGTGTTAAACATTGGCTTAGCCTCCGTTTGTTTTTCCAGAGAAGATTTTTTTGTTCATTTATGTATTTCTTTAGTATTTATTGAGTGCCAGGCATGAGGATATTATAGTGAGCATGGTAATGTTCCTCATGCAGCTTACAGTCTCATGGGAGAAGTCAGACATTAAACACATGACTACATAAATAATTAGTTTAGTCATGCTAAGTCCTATGAAGGAAAATTACAAAAAGCTCTGAAACTTAATAACAGGGAACTTTACTTAGTTTAGGGGTCAGGAAGGGCTCCTCCAAGGAAGCGACACTTTGGCTGAAACCTGAAGGTTAGATAGGGGAGAGACAGGCCAAGTTGGGAAAGGACGTGAGCAGAGAGGAGTTTGCAGGCAGTGGAAGCAGGAAATGTAAAGACCCTGTGAAGAGAGAGAGCATATGCTTGCATGGCAGTAAAATCAGCAGGTGTGCATGGAGCACAGCAGTGAGGAACAGAGTGACCTCAGAGGTGAAGTCAGAGAAGTAAGCAAGAGTCAGATCGTGGGGCCTGCAGACCATGTAAAGGATTTTGGACTTTATTCTGCAGGCAATGAGAAGTCATAAAAGGGTATAATCTAATATATATTTTTAAAAACTCAGTCTTGAACATAGACAAGTGATTGAAAAGGAGCAGGGAAATATTCATGAAGACCAGTTAGGTATCTATTCCTATATTCTAAAGAGAAAGTGATTGTGACATGGATTGTTAGTATGGTGTTGACCCAGATGGCATAATGTCAGTTATGATGAGAGATATTTAGGAGGTACAGTGAGGAGGACTGGTGATTGTTTGGCTGTGGGTGGTGAGGTACAAGAAAGTGACAGATGATTCCATGATTTTTGCTTTAGGAAACTGGGTAGTACCAGTTCCTGAGATAAGGAATGTTGGAAGAGTATCAGGCTTGAGGGAGGCAGACCATGAACTTAATTTAGTACTTGTCAAATGTGAGTTGCTTGTGAAACATCAAGTGAAGATGCAGACAGGTTGTTAATATAGGGACCTGGAGTGTAAAAGAGAGCTCTGTAGTAAAAGCACGCATTTGGGAGTCATCACTGTAAATATGGTAATGAGATAAGCATATTCAAGACCAAGACCTGAATGAAGCCCACATTTTAAGATTAGATAATGAGAAGTCTAAGAAGAAGAAGCAGCCACCAAAGTAGAAGAAAAACAGGTGAAGTGTCATACTAAAATACTCATTTTTGTTTCATTTATATACATACTATCATTTCTGAAGTCTTATTTTGTTTGTTCATTTTAGTCTTTGTGTTACTACACCTATTGTAGTGATTAGTGCACTTACGTTGCAAGGGAAATACTTTAATGTTGACAGATTTGGCTGCCTTTACATGTTTGATAAAGTGTCCCCAAGTCCACCAGTGTTGCCTGATGATAGATTGTAGACAATATTGGAGACAGTTTCTAAATCAGGTGCATACCACATGACTTTTTTCTGTAGCTTTTTTTTTTTTAAATATACCTGAATATAACCTTAGAGAAATGTGATTATCCATGGTTTAACTGATCTAACAATTTAATAGGTAAGATTACACAGGAGTTGGCACATTTAGGACTCATAAGTATTAATATGCTGGTCTTCATACATCCTCACAGAAGCAGAAGAGCCTTGAATTTGATACATAAATTTATTAAATTTTAAACTTTAGGTCATTAGAAACTGTTGGCTTATTATCAATTCCCAGAGTTTATCATAGTATAAGGTGTGCAGTAGGTACTCAGTGTCTGTAGAATGAATGAATGGTTATAGTTTTATGGCTTGACCACAGTTTATTTGGGCAATTTAATAAAATACTAGTAATTTTTATTGTTAGAAATTGCAGAGCAAGCATTCTTAAACATTGCTGGGTATGAAGTCACATTAATCACATCTGTAAAGGCCCTTTTTCAAAATAAGGTAACATTCACAGTTTCCAGGGATTTGATGTGGATATCTTTTGGGGGTCGACTTCTCAGCCTTCCATATCTACCTTCAACTATTCTTCACAGACCAACCTTAGTTTGAAATGATAATGAACCTGCCATTCCTTGTTGCTCCCAGTATTGACTCCAGACTTTAACAAGGCTTTTTCATGATTTGGCTCCTGCTTCTTATTTATCCAGCCTCATCACTTGCCCCATTGTGACCATATTCCCATCTTTCAACCACTCTAAATGAACTCTTTATTTTTTTGTAGTTTTTATTCCCATTTTTCCCTTTTTTTGTATGTTCTGTCTCTTTGACAGGAATATGCACCTTTCCTTTGCTTAACAGCTATTTCACAATTTAGCTCAGACATCCAGTTTTCGCATGAAGTCTTCCTACATCACAAAATCTAGATCAGGTCTACTGTCCCTGTATTTCTCCTTTTCTGTTACAATATCTCTAATAACTGTATTGTAACTGTCTAGTTTCCAGTCCTGGCTTCAATTGCTGGGTGACTATGTACTGTGAGGGCAGGGGTCCTGTCTATTCTGTCATATCCCCATAGTCTAGCACTGTTTCTGGACATGGATTGAATATTTGATTCACAAATAAAAGTTTGAGGAAAAAAGAGGATTTGGGTTCCAGCTGCTAGAAATTGAAGTTTGGATTTGGTTTCTGTTTTCAAATAAACATGGATATTGAAAAGATTTTTTCTTTTTCTTGTTTAGGCTTATGGGTTAAAGATGCAAACATCTGCCTCTCTCTCTCCAGTGGTCTTAGCCACGACTCTTTCTGCGTTGGATGAAGCCCTGCATGGTGGAGTGGCTTGTGGATCTCTCACAGAGGTAAAGGACAAACTTTCCAAACCTCCCACAAACCTATAACCTTCAGAGCCAGGGGAAAAAGTTTAGTTGAAAAAACAAATTATTTTGTACCTCAAGGGCATGGTTCTTCACTCAGTACCTAGTACAGTTGCTTTGCAAAACTACGATGTTCAGAACAATCCTTGCTGACCACCGGAAGTCTCCTTAGGTTGCTGTTTCTTCAACTTAGAAAATGATGAGTATTAAACTGAAGTGAGCTGTTAGTTTCTGTTGTAGAAAAAATTTGGTTCTGTGATATGTTGTGGTGTTAGTTATGTCTTGTTGCAGAACAAATTACTTCAAAACTAAGTGGCTTAAAACAATAGTTAACTTTTATTATTTCTGTTGATTTGGGAGTGGCTTAGCTCGTAGATATTGGTGAAGGATGTGGTATCTCGAAGTCTTGGTGGGGTTGGAGAATGTTTTCAAGAGGACTCACTCACATGATTGGGAAGTTGATGGTGGTTGTTGGCAGGACACAGTTCCTCTCTAAGTGGGCTCTCCATAGGCTGCGTGAGTTCCTCATTCCATGATGGCTGACTTCCCCTAACGTGAGTAACCCAAAAGAGGCAAGGTAGAAGTGGCGATGCCTTTGATGATTTAGCTGTGGCAGTTACACATCGTAAACATCTGCCACATTTTCTTCCTTAGAAGCAAGTCATTAAGTACAACTCATGTTCAAGGAAAGAGAAATTTGACTCTACCTTTTGAAAGAAGTGGTGTCAAGAATTCGAGGACTTTTTTTTAATTGAAAAAGGTTGACATGTAACATTGTGTAAGTTTAAGGTTTTCATCGTATTACTTTAACATATACATTTATATGTTATAATCTGCTGATATAGTAGTATTTACAACATTACATAATTATAGTACAGTGGTATTGTCTATTCATTATATTGTGCATTAGATCTCTATGGGTTATTTACTAATTATAAGTTTGTGCCCTTAAACACCATCACTCTTGTCTTCCCACCCCTGCCCCCTGTTAACCATCAGTTTACTCTGTTTTTTAACAGGTTTAACTATTTTAGATTCCACATGTAATTGATATATAGTATGTTTCTTTCTCTGTCTGATTTATGTCACTTGTATAATGTGCTCAGGGTCTATCCATGTTGTTGCAAATGGGAGGATATCTTCCTTCCTCATGGCTGAATAATATTCCATTGTGTATATATGCCACACTTTTAATCCATTAATCTGTTAGTGGGCATTTAGGTTGTTTTTGTATCTTGGCTATTGAGAATACTCAATATTACTGTGATAAACATTGGGGTACAGATATCTTGATGAAATGCTGTTTTTATTTCCTTTGGGTATATATCCAGAAGTGAAATTGTTGAGTTGTATGTGGATCTATTTTTAATTTTTTTGAGGAAACTCTAAGTTTTCCATAGTGCGATTGCAGACTTTCAAAAACCACAACAGTTCTTTTACTTGCAAGCTGCATTGGCGTGCTTACTGGTCCTGGTGTGATGACTTGATGGACTTGCCAGAATGTTCCAGAGGAACTTCTTGTCTGAGAGTTCTAGGGGCCTAGATACTTTACACAAACTTCTAGGCAAGAGCAGACTCTTAACGTTCTGATAGTCATAAATTTAACTGTAGATTTTTAAAATTAAGATGGGACTCTGTTTTAGATACTATACCTTATTTTATGCCCTATCTTCTGAGAAAGATTTAAAAATGTGTATGTGGGGGGCACCTGGGTGGCTCAGTTGGTTAAGCATCCGACTTCAGCTCAGGTTATGGTCTCATAGTCTTGAGTTCGAGCCCAGTGTTGGGCTCTGTGCTGATAGCTCAGAGCCTGGAGTCAGCTTCAGATTCTGTTTCCTTCTCTCTCTGTCGCTCCTCCACTCATGCTTTGTCTCTCTTTCTCTCTCAAAAATAAATAATAAAAACATTAAAACAATGTGTTATGCTTGGTAGATGCCTATTAGATAACTGGTGAGTGGGTGAATCTTTAAGAAAAAAAAAGGAAAAGAAAGAACCTGCTGTTGCAGGGTCCTGCCACCAGATGGTACCATAATCCTATTGTACCTAATCTGTGCACTACAGCTGGACCTCTGCTCAAATGAGTTTATAACAATACTATTCCACAGTTATAAACATCCTAAATAGCAAAAACTGAACTTAAGAAAGATTAACCCACAGGTACTTTTTATTTTTTAAGCTTTAGAATAATTTTTAATGCATTTTCACTTGGTTTTTGTTAATTCTTTCTGGGTTTTTTTTTTTGCAATTAACTTTTTATTTTATTTTATTTTTTTACAAATAGTTTATTGTCAAGTTGGTTTCCATATAACACCCAGTGCTCATCCCCACAAGTGCCCTCCTCCGTGCACATCTCCCCCCTCCCCCACCACACCCACCAGTCCTCAGTTTGTTCTCAGCATTCAAGAGTCTCTTATGGTTTGCCTCTCTCCCTCTCCCCCACTATTTCCCCCCTTCTTCTCCCCCACGGTCCTCTGTTAAGTTCCTCCTAATCCTCCTATATGTGCAAACATATGGTATTTGTCCTTCTCTGCCTGATTTATTTTGCTCAGCATAACACCCTCAAGGCCCATCCATGTTGGTGCACATGGCCAGATTTCATTCTTTCTCATTGCCATGCAGTATTCCATCGTATAGATAAACCACATCTTCTTGATCTATTCGTCTGTTGATGGACACTTAGGCTCTTTCCATGTTTTGGCTATTGTTGAGAGTGCTATGAACATTGGGGTACATGTGCCCCTATGCATCAGCACTCCTATATCCCTTGGGTAAATTCCTAGCAGTGCTATTGCTGGGTCATAGGGGAGTTCTATTGTTTGTTAATTCTTTCTGAATCCAAGTGGTAGTTAAAAGCATTTTGTCATGATCAACTTGGCTGACTTGGAGCATAAATTTTCTGCTTTTTAGTGGCAAATTCTGTACTTTCTGTTTCAGTTACAGGTAGCCTCTTCAGTTATTTTGGGATTTTTTTTCACTTAGTACAGAGTATTTCTATTTAGCTTTTATTAACAAAATTTTAATGTGTATTTTATGCATATAGAATTAAATAATCCTGCATGTGTAAGTTATGAAGCCTTAGGACCTTATGACTTAATAAGAACCAGAACAATACTGACACTATTGAAGCTAACTGTGGGCTCCCTCCTGATCCTGTCTTTGGCCTTCTGTTGACATGTAATCTTTATCTTGAGTTTTTACTGTTCCTATACTTTTTTCCTTATAGTTTTCTTTTACTGGCTGTGTGCTTAAATATGAGATATAAAAATATCTTATTTAGTTTTGCTAATTTTTGAGCTCTAATAAATCATGTCTGTGATTAAATCCTATCACCTATGAATTACTTTATTCATCTAATAGTGTTTAAAAAATTTTTTTTAAATGTTTATTTTGAGAGAGAGAGAGAGAGAGAGAGAGACAGAGTGCCAGCTGGGGAGGGGCAGAGAGAGAGGGAGACACAGAATTTGAAGCAGGCTCTGGGTTCTGAGCTGTCAGTACAGAGCCCGACGTGAGGCTCAAACCCTGAAGTCTGATGCTTAACCGACTGAGCCACCCAGGTGCTGCCTAATAGTGTTTTCTAAGATAATACCCGTGTTATTTCAGGTAGCAAGAGTATAATTTCACAAGAGTATTATATAAGATATAATGTATTATATTCCATTTTGAAAATAAGCCACAATTTATTTATCTTTTTCCTTTTAGTGAACGTTTGGGTTGTTTACAGTTTGATGCTAATATAAATAAGTCCTATGAAAATTGTTATACATGTCTCCTGGATTGCATGTACAGGTATTTCTCTAGGGCAGGAATTGGTAAACTACTGTGCAGCAATCAAATCTAGCTTGATGTTCGTTTTTATAAATAAAGTTTTATTGTAACACAGCTATGCTCATTTGTTTATGTTTTGTCTGTGACTGTTTGCATGATAGAAAGCAGAGTTGAATTAGTAGTGACAAGGATCTCATGATCTGCAAAACCTAAAATATTTAATATCTGGCCCCTGTCAAGTTATCTGTGTTGGAGTGATTTCCTGGTAATAGGGTATGTGTATAATGTAACTTTGCAGAATCAGGAAAAATGGTTGTACCTGTTTACATTCCTACCAGCGATGTGTAGGAATTCTTCTTGCTCCATATCTTCTTGCCTTGATATTATCAGACTTTTTAACTTATGCCCATCTTTGGCATCTATGATCTTAGTTTTCATTTTCCTGATTACTAACAGCTTGAATACCTTTTGTTAAAAGTTTATTTATTTTGAGAGAGACAGAAACAGCACTAGTGGGGGAGGGATAGAGAGAGGGAGACAGAGGACCTCAAGCAGGCTCTGTGCTGATAGTGTAGAGCCCGACTTGGGGCTTGAACTCATGAAACTGAGATCATGACCTGAGCTGAAACCAAGAGTTGGATTGACTAAGCCACCCAGGTGCCGTGAATATCTTTTCATAAATCATTTGGTTACTCTATTTTATTTTTTTAAGGTAATCTCTATACCCAGTGTGAGGCTTGAATTTATAACCCTAAGATCAAGAATCTCACGCTCTACCAAAAGAGCCAGTCAGGCACCCATCGTTTGATTATTTTAAAGAAAAGTTTTATTAAGGCACAATTTAAATGCTTTAAAAATTCAACCATTTTAAATTGTATAATTCAACTAATTTGCTAACTTTATAGTAAATAATCACCACAATCCCATTAGAACATTTCTGTCATTCTAAAAATTTCCCTCATGCATATGTACCAGTAATTCCTGCTTCCATTTCTCAGTTCTGGGCACCCACTGATCAATTTTCTGTGTATATATTTCCCTTTTCTAAACATTTCATTTAAGTGGAGTCATATGATTTGTAGTCTTTTGTGTTCGGTTTCTTTCATATAGCATGATGTTTTTAAAAAATTTTTTTGTTTTTGAGAAAGAGAATGAGAAAGAGAAAGAACAAGCGGGGGAGGTGCAGAGACAGAGGGAGGCAGAGGATCCAAGCTAGATCT